TAAGACGCTAGCCAGCGAAGATTTTTACCTCTRTTCCACCCACTTTCCCTGCCTACTCTGGGTCTTAGCTGCTAAAAAGCTGCTCTGGCAGAGTTGGAGGGCCTGAAGAAACATGCTCAGTCAAGCMCATTTGAAAACCCATGTTTTTAGATGTAATTAGTTGCCAGGTGCATTATTAGGGAGAGAGAAAGAAGGGATAAACTGAGCTATTCCCTCCCCCAGAACTAAGTTCTACTGCAGGACTGGGGCAGCAGCTTCTTAGGAGTTCATTCACCCAGGAAGCTGGGAAAATCTGCCTTTCTAGAGCTCAGTAACCTAGCTTTTGTATGATAAGGAGAGGTAGCAGTGCTGATTCAGGAACAGGTGTAAGGTTCATGGTGACAGCATGTTCAATCTGGTTACTAACAGCTTGGCCTGAATCTTACTGAATTCAACCTGCTAGTTATGACAAAGAGGGTCAGGCTGAGAACCAACTGTTCAAGAAAGCAAGATTCTGTAATCCTTTCTTGCCCTTTCACCTCACAAATTTGAATATGTCAGACATTTGGCCTGTTGAGAATAACTGTGAACTTGCTRGTGTGTACAGGGGGGATGAGCTGGGTGTATACTACTCTCCTGACTRGMTGTTTTCTGGCTGTTATTCAGATTGGATAGGAAAAGAGGCTGGTGAGGAAGRAATGGAGAGAGCAGGATCCCTGAATTCCCTGGATCCCAAACTCCTTGACTGTCACTTGTAATTGTATATAATTCTTTTTTGTGTTTCTTGCTTCATTTCCTCATGCTGTCATTCTTAATCTAAAGTCCATGTGGGAAGGGGAAAATGCCAAACATCATTGTATAGTTTCCTCAACTGTCCCAGCCATGTTGTACATAGATATGTCATGTTATTATATATATAAATATATATATAATTTTGTACGTTTTCTTCATCTCCGATCTTCTCGAATTCTGTACTTTTTTCTTTTCTGTCTGAGCTGCTTTCTCTATTGGTCAGTTTGAGTCTTCAAGACTGATGTTCACAGTGAGTCTGGATTTAAGGAAAGAATAGAAGGAATAGGGAAATCAAACTTTAGTCTTACACTCTCACTACCAGATCATCTTCAAGGTTAAGAAACTAAAAAGCTACAATTCTATATGTGCCACCTGTTTACATAGTATGAAGTACACAGCTTCCTTAGCAAGAATGGGTCATTTCATGATCCAAATACAGATTGCTTTGGTCAAACCTAGATTATTAAATACACTCAAAACAACATGTGCGTGGTCTGACCCTGGCCTCCACACAGTCACCACCTCTTCACTGTGCTGCCTCAGGCTTCACTGTAGCTGAGTGACTGTGGCCATGCCTCTGAAACCAAACCTGCTCTGAGCCTGGTCTCCCCTGGAAACCAGTTATTTTGCTCTTGTCCAAAGAATTGTTTTTCCGTGTTTTCCATGGGTTTCTCCAAAACGTCAGGAAACATTCTATTTGTGGATAGGAATTATTTTTTAATTTTTGCAGTTCCCTTAAGGATAAGATTGAGGCATATACCAGGTAGCCTAATGATTAAGTGTGGAAGAATCATGGGATAGAGACTGGGATGGAATTCAAGGTTTTTCCCCTATTACTTGACAGTGTTTTGTTTTGTTTTGTTTTTTTCCTTCTGTGTTCGTCCACAGTGGCCAAGTTGAATGATGCTGCCTGGGGCTCCGCCAGATCCTGAGACGCTGCCCTCCTGGGTCCTGTGCTGGCTCCTGCCCCTCCCTGCTTTTGCAGCCAGGGGTCAGGAGGTGGCTTGGGCACGGGCTGGAGAGGCAGAAGCCCCTGCCCATTGGTGTCCCAGCACATGGAGCCCCTTGGGCTGAGCACCAAGACCTTGAACCTTTTTTGTTTTACCTTTTTTTCCAAATAACTGTTGAGAAATCTCAATGAAATCTCATGGATGGGGTTGAGAGGGTGGGTGGGAGATTTGGGATTTAGAGTTGATAAAAACATTCCTGACAATCCTCCCTCTTAACCCAGTGGCTAATGTGGGGAGATATGAGGGGGAGGAAGTGGAGTAGACTAATGATAAGGGGTTCTAATTCAGCTCTGTAGACAGATGCCTAGTGTGGATAAACAGGCTGTTGATGTACACAGAGCAGATAGGCCCTCTGGTTCTGCAGAGCAAGACTCAATGTTAATTGTTCATTTAARAAAAAAAAAAAGTGCTTTCCTTGAAATAGATTTGCTATTTCAATAGGGTAGTGAATGTTGGGGAAAGGAGCCATGAGTGTGGGGAGCCCCACTGAGCCCAGGGGACTTTTTCAGTGTTTGAAATAAAAAAACAACAAAAAAAGACCCATGAAAAAACCTAACCCAGAAATACTCTGAAGCAGTTGGTGTGTTTATTGGGGTTTGGGAAGGGGAAGAAAACCAGTGTGAAAACACTGTTCAGGGGAAAAGCTGGTGGGTGTCCCAGAGTTTCTAAGGAACACAGAGACCTTTAATATGGGATATGGCTGGGCTGCCTGTTTCCATCATGTAGGAAAAGGGAGCATTCCTTTGGCATACAGACTTTTCTTAACCCCTATACATTTCTTAAGATGCATCAAACAAATGTAAGGTATTTGATCCAAATGGCTTGTTGACATAAAGCTTAGTCTAGACTCGGCAAAAAAGGAAGCCTATTCTTCCTTTTCCCTTTCAACTATCTTTTCCTTTGCAAGTTCCCATGCCTGTGAAGAAGAAATGTGTACTATTAGTAATAAACCAAAAGAAATTAAGTCTTTCTGCTTGTGGTCAGCAGAAGGCAGAGTGACTTCTTTCATCATGACWTGCCAACCTGCATTTCTGGAATCCTGCCACTGAAAGGAGTTAAAAGCTGCTTGTGAATGAAAGGTACTAAAGAAACATTAGCAAGGGAGAAACAACTCAGCTGCCCCTCCCTTCCACCACGCATCCGCATCCCCCAACCACTGGCCCATTTAGCCTTCCTTTGATTAGGAGAGTTGATCATGGTTTTTTGGGCAAATGTGRTTAGCTTTTGTACTGCTTATGCTGTGTGAGATAAACAAGGTCTGGGAGACAGATATTCTAGAGAAATCCCCATTGTGTTAAGGGATGGGGAGCACCTTGGAAACTGACAAAGGAATCTTGTTTTCAGCATCTGGCTGTTCCTACCTGCCCCCCCAACCCCTGCCCCTTTTTTTTTTTTTTTTTTCCCTTAATCAGAAGCTTTCCAAATAAATTTTCAACTACTTGGGATGTTTCTGGCTTGCTCTCTCCTGATTTAGCCAGGGGATTGTGGTATATAGTAAATAAAATTAATTTTTGTGGTATTGGGGATTGATCCCAAGGCTGCATGCAAGTCAAGCATTCTACTACTAAGTTGTATTCCCAGCCCTTAATTTTTTTGAGACGGGATCTTGTCTCACCAAGTTG